GACCCTTCCTGGTTTGTGCCCAAAATGAACAAGAACCTCGTGCGCCCTTGGTTCCGCCAATGGCCGTACGATGTTCCATATTCCTGGTTCATTGTCGGGGCAGGGATAACCTGCACTTATCAGAGGCCAGGCATGTTAATTTATATATTCACCATATAAAATCATCACGCTGATACATCGAACTCGTTTTGTTATATTCTTATGAATCAAATTTTTCTGTCAGAAATGTAGACTCAAGAGTTCAAAATTTATCAGTTGTACAAGGCGTAGCATTGGAACTGCTATGTAGGTTTTTTGTTTACCAAGGGTTCGAATCCCTCTCTTTCCGGACGCACCTTTACCTAATTCATCAATATTATTGACCGCAATGTTTCAAATAACAAAATGTACTTTCGAAGACAAGTTCATTTTCTGCCCGACAAAGAAAAAAGACAAGAAATTAATTCGTATTAAATACGCACACCTCTCCCTGACGATAAGACAATTCAATTGAAATGGTTGAAAATCTGAGTCTTTAACTGATTGTATAATATCAGAACCCAGAAACATGGTGATGTTAAATGAACTGAATCAAGTAAAAGTAGGGGAAGAGAGAGATATACCGGGCCCATCAGAAGCAGGGTCACCAAAGTTCTGGTAATGACCAAATTTCATGAACACTCTTTCGAGAGAATCTATGTGGGTGTCTGGGCAAACGGAAGGGAACTGAAGGGCGTACAAGAGGCCAGGGAAGCCGAAGATGAATGAACGTTTGCAGACTCTGATTATTGGCGCGTCCTTCGCCATTGGCCAGTGAAAGCCGTTGACGGAGCAATACGTTGTCAGAAGAGTTGGCGCCGTCGTCTGCACTACAAGTTTGATATGAAACTGCCCAAGCCCGAGCAACCTCACGGTCTTTGCATCATCATAGTCTAGCAACATCACGGCGGCCGTCGGGAAATGGAAAAGCTCTGATATGCTGCCGTTCGAAATCCGTTGAGGACTTGCAGAAGAGCTCGCCATGCCTGCACTCACTGTATGTAACTGACTAGGGCTTAGATTATACTAATTACCATAACAAATAGAAAAATGAAACGAAAAGGCGATTACAAACAACAACAATGGATGATCAAAGAGTCTTGAAACAAAGCGTGAAATAATATAGAGAGAGGAAACCTGAAAGCTTACTACAGAATTGGGTTTGTGAGTTGGTGAGGGGATCGATGGGGAAGAAGGAAGGGAGAGAGAAGCGTTATATAAAAGAGCGAAGGAAGAAGGGGTTAAAGGAGGTTCATGATGAACCTGTTTTTGTATTTTATCACTTACCATAACAGTAACTGACTTTGCTTACTAATCTTTTTTTCCTTTGTTTTCAGAATATCGAGCCAAACTACTATTGTACGCATTAATTAAGGTTCATTGGATCGGAGGAGAATTCTGATTTCAAATTAACGGCACTTATTTTACTTTTTAAAACTTTAGACCAGATCATTGGTAAAAATATTTTTATTTTTTTAAATGAAAAAATACTTTCTAAAGAAGAAGGAGGAGATCATGTATGTAACTGCTGTTGGTTTTGAACTGGATAATATTCGTGAAGACAAGGGACAAGTTTCTCCGAGGTTCTTCGGCATGGGAACTACGTCCTGATATCAAACTGGTCGTCCGGTAGGATGGCTACTTGTCTGTTTGTTTTGAAAGTCATCAGATGGATACGGCTTATTGGCCAAAATATAATTAAACTAGTCAATGAGTTTTCATTTGGAACCATTTGCTCTTATCTATCTCGGTTATTTTCTCAGCTGTGGAGCTTGGGAAGTGAGATTTACTTTCTGTAGTTAGCTAAGATCCATTGTCCACCGTTGCAACCTATAAGAAGAATTTCTTTTTTTTAAAAAAAAAAAAATCGTAACAGCTCATCATATAAATTATAAACTTAATTATCAATTTGGAATTATAGAGAGAGAGATTCTTTGGAAGGCTTTTTACATGATGTAAATAGCTTATTTCTCTCTTTTTAGTTTTTACAGCATCTCCTTTATTGGCATGTGTTTACTATAAGCTACTCATAGTTTGTTGGTTTAGGAAATTGTGGCATTAGATGTGTGTGAATGAATTTGCATTTTAATGACATGAAAACTCTTTTATAGATTAGAGTTTTGGCCGATTTCACTTATAATTTTCTCAAGTTATTAGTGTTAACCACTTTAAAAAATTTTTAAAAAAAAATGCCCCTAGATTGTTGCTAGTATGCCATGTTACGTTGCAGCTTCTTGCATCACTCATATTCATTAACTGCTTGAAATTGTACATTAGTCATTAATTCGAAGGGTATTTTGTTTCAATTGATTTTTGTAACCTTTTTAATATTGGGTAAAAGTTAGTTTTACCCTGAAAATATTCCTGAAGGAATTATGGGCATCCTAAAAAAATTGCCAAGCAACCTAACACATACATTTTTGCAAAAACTAATACTACCTCTGGTCCTTAATCAATTTAAGTAAATTAAAAAATTAGTTAAATTAACTATTTATAATAAATAAGTGTTTCTTTCCTAAAATACCGTTGCTACTCATATGTATTAACTAGAATTATAATTTAATAAAATATTTATCATGTATAACTATTACAAGGACTATCATGAGAAAAGTAGATAAATATGAGAGATAAAATGAACTGATATCTTATCTTTAGAATGAAATTAAATGTCAAACTAATTTTTATATCAAGAATAAGAGGAGGTATAATTTTACTATTTTTAACCGTTGATGTTAACTAAAAATAATTTGTGCTCGCATGCACGGACATATTTATGTTTAGAAACAAATTCCTATGCCAGATTAAAATATTATCTTTAATGAATTCTGATCATGAAAGATTTAATTAATTAGCTTTATATTGATATTGCATTAATACATAGTAGTAAAACAATAATTACACATGAATTTAATTTTATTTTAGATAATACATTGATTGATTGCATTTAATTTGACAAGCCCTCTAGCACTAGCATTTAATTAATATTTCTCTAGTCCTAAAAATAAGTCTTATATTTAGGACTGAAAGACTATCATGAGATTTTTAATTAGTGATAAATGAGAGCAGATGAATAACTGATTTATACATGAATTAAATTTCAACATTAAATTGTGGAATAGTAAGTAAGCAGCTTAATATTGTTATGGTCTGCTGGACTAAAACAACACTAAAGCTAATTAGTTACTATTTCCAATCTTAAATATAAGATTTAGTTTATAACGTAACTAATACTACAAATTAAATCTTATATTTAAGACTAGAAATAATAAGTAAACCAAATAACATGAGTAGAGGACCATATAGTATACACATTAGTACTTGGCCCTGTATGAGATTTGGACCCAATAATCTACATTCAATCCTATCAAGAGATTTCAATAGATCTTTTCCACTAACTCACAAAAAAAAAAAATACAAGTTTTCATATTACTTCAAACTATAGGGTTAATTTCCTAGGCTCACTGAAAACTTGCTAGTCAGGTTTCAACACAAGTCTCTGTTTTTACTACTACTACTACTCTTTTTTGCTTTGCTTTTATGTATTTATATTAAATTATTAATTTTGATTTGGTGTTAAAGACCGTACATGAATTGCTAAATTCCTTAAATCTAGCTAGGTTTATTATCAAGTCACTTGTGGTTTTATGCTTAGTTAGTATTCCCTTTAGTCCTATTTATAAGCTTTAAATATAAAAAGTGATGTGGTCTATTTTATAAGTTTTAATTTAGATTTGTCTCAACATTTAATTTTTTTTTTAATTTTACCCTTAATTATTTATTCTCTCATTTGCCACACCCTGTCATCAGATTTTCTTTCATCCTTTTTCTTATTTATTATAATGACATATTTAAAAACAAAAGTATATTTTACCTAGTTATTGCTCTTAACTAATTTTATCTAATTTTTGTTATGTCCAAATTAGTTATTTCAAGTTTATAATAGAGAGCAGAGGGAGTAATTGCTTAACGTTTGACTATATTTGGAGCTTTAATTTGGTTTATTATTCCATTTAAGCTTTATATTTTTCTACGCAAAACATCAAAGATGTCGACATATGAGCGCGTACACACACACACACATATATATATCTATTATTAGTACGATATGTCAAGTTTGAAAAATTTTGCGTTGGCAAAAAAAAAAGAAAAGAAATATGCGAATATAATATAGATTCAACATATCTCTTCGGTCACTTCCTAAAGATAAAACAACCTTAATCTATTTTGATCTCATATTTATTATTATTATTTAAATTAATTTGCTTACCCTGTAAAATAATATAATATAATAAGGCGTTATGTAGGAGTATTTTAGAGAGTTATAATTTACTTATTTATTTAAATTTCTTAATTAATTCATATTATTTAAGTAAGTTTTATATTAAGGATTAAAAGAGTAGTAATGACGGCAATAATTCATACTGGTACTTAAGTTGTTAGGATTTTGCAGTCCAATGACACTAAACGTCTCCTTTAACTTTTTTTTTTTTTTGGGAAGTATAGGTTTGTGAATTTTTATAAAAGGTATATTAAGTTGTTTTAGTATTCTTTATTAGAGATAATTTTATTTAATATATTGTCATATTTTTTTTTTTGATACAATTATATTGTCAGATACTAATAAGACCCATTTGAGTCTTGTATCTAAAACCGGAGAGAGTACTAAGTGACGATTCGAACATCTAATTTTTGATGGTACATAAGTTTTTGGGGGGCCAAGGAAATGATATTATGGTAGGCTTTACAAGCTCGAGAAAACGGGCTTTCAGTTGGCCCAGACATATCAGCTTCAAAGAGTTAGTCCATGACACAAGGCCTGTTCTCGTCTAGGCCCATCCGGGATTAGCGCCATCTCTACTCTAAACCACGTGGCATTTGTTGGTACAACGACAGTCGACAGAGCAGACATCTTGTATCCTCTTTCGTTTCTTATCAATCAATAAATTTCAGGCCGTAATTGATTTTTAAAAAACAAAAAATTTCTTGCCACCAATAGAGCGCCAGGAATTGGATGATTAGCGATGAAGTGTGGGTCTGCAGAGTGCAATTTCTCCTTTTGTTGGTTTTCTGGTTAAAGGACGAACGTATCAGTTTAGAGCTCTAAAATCATGGAGAATTCTGAAGAATTGGGACTCCAAGAGCAACCGGTGGTTCTCATCACCGGCTGTTCTCAAGGAGGAATTGGACACGCGCTGGCACGCGCATTCGCCGCCAACAAGTGTACGGTGGTTGCCGCAAGCAGGTCACGGTCATCCATGGCCGACCTGGAGCAAGATCCCAGGTTCTTCTTGCAGGAGCTCGATGTTCAGTCAGATCAGAGCGTCCAACGAGCGGTGAAGAATGTTCTGGACAAGTATGGCCGTGTCGATGTTTTGGTGAATAATGCCGGAATTCAGTGCGTTGGTCCACTTGCCGAGGTTCCTCTCTCCGCCGTCCAGCAAACTTTCGATACCAATGTGTATGGTTCGTGTCAATTTCACGAGCTTTTTCTATTTCAATCGTCGTTTGGTTTTGTGGATCCGGAATTTCGATATTATATTATCATCGAGTTCACGGTGACAATGACAAATGAACTGACCAAATTCTATCATTTTCTTCCTTTAATCTGAATTAGGGATTTGACTTTGGTAATCGTTGTTAGTGTTTCTTTTTTTCTTTCTTTTTTTTTTTGGCGCGGGATAAGACAACTAAAGAAGGAAGCTATTATAAGATGAATCTTATGGTTTTCCGTGCGAACACCTCAATGTAATGCTGAAATAGGAGTATCAATTGGTTATTCTTACCCTTAATTTCATACAGTTACCAAGTTTTTGTATATTTTACGAACAAATGCAGGTTCATTGAGAATGGTTCAAGCTGTTGTTCCACACATGGCGAATAGGAAAAAGGGGAAGATCGTAAACGTTGGTAGTGTTGCTGCTATGGCCGCTGGACCATGGTCAGGCACTTACACTGCTTCCAAAGCTGCTCTTCATGCTTTGACTGATACTCTCAGGTTTGCATATGCTTCAAATCTGCAGTCTTAGCTTGCTCTGAGAATTGATCTTTCTTGCATAAAATTAGTGGCAAGAGAATTGGTGACAGAAAACAACCGTTCATGCAGTTATGTGCATGCTTTGAGTTGTTCATAAAGTTGTTCCTAGACTTCGTCAGGGTTCAAAGAAGCTGCAATCTTTGCTAAAACTTAGTATATGTTTGGTCGCATATCAGAAATAATCGATTCAATTGTGGAAGCAAGTAGTTAGAAAAACAATAGTTTTGATCGTCTCGAACGAAACATAACTAGAATATTTGTGATGGAAAATCATTGTTCATGTAGTCTTGTACACGCTTTAAGTCGTTAGGCTTCAAGGAAAATGCAAATTTATTCAAGAAAAGCTGTACTTTGTTGGATGGAATTTGAAGGACTATGATGTTATATCATCTGCTCACCCATTGAACTTTTTTCTTTGATCCACATATTAAATTGAATTGTTCCTTGACTTTTGTGTGTTTGGTATTTTATATTTGCCGTTGTTTATTCAAAACATGCACAGATTGGAACTGAGTCATTTTGGAATTGATGTTGTGAACGTTGTGCCCGGAGCTATCAAGTCAAATATTGGGAATTCTGCAGTAGCCAGCTACAACCGAATGCCTGAATGGAAGTTGTTTAAGCCATTTGAAGCAGCGATTCGAGAGAGAGCTCATTTTCCACAAAGATCCAAGTCCACCCCTACGGATGAGTTTGCTAAAAACACTGTGGCCACTATCCTCAAGAAGAACCCACCTGCATGGTTCTCTTCTGGTCACTACTCAACCATCATGGCTATTATGTACCATATGCCAATCTGTGTTAAGGATTTTCTTTTGAGGAAAGCAATGAATTGTTGAGCTTCATGTTGGTTTTGATGAGAAGAACATTACCCAAAAAAGAGACAAATTATGCAGAAAATAATTATATTGGATTGAGGATTAGAAAGGATAATATAGACTGCTTTAAATGGCATTGCCTTTCATTAATAATACAGGCCGCATTTGTACCTCTTAAACTCGATCAGCTCTAGTTTTTCATATTTAGAAAAATATCATCATTTTGAATTTTACGGTTTTTCTAGTCTTTAATTTTAGTTTTTTTTTAAGTAAATCATACGTGTCTTTTAAGCTGTTGGGAATCACATTACTTAATAATTTTGAAAAGTGGTTAATAAGAAATTTTGGAGCTTAAGGGAGTAGTTCTCCTTGCATTATTTTTTAATATTCTTTTCCACTTGTAAGATTTGAATTCTAATTTTGTTTTTAAAAAAGTCAAGTCTCATGATTTGATGTAACTCCCGTTTGGATGCATCTGTCGAATTACGTAATATTAAATTAATTACAAGTTATATTCATTTTTCTAATGTAATTAATAAAATTAACTGATGACAAGACATTAATTTTTTGGCCGTCATGCAACAGTAATTCAACTATTATACTTGTGTATTATTTTTTGGCCTGCACGTACCTGCATATTGTATTGTCTACAAATATATTACATTAAGATTATTCACCCCAACAATTGTAATTTTTCTGCCTTAACAAAACTTAGGATTTGTTTAGACTAAAGGTTTAACTTTTACTCCAATTATATTTTACAATATGAAATTGAAATAAAAATCAATTATTATAACGTGACTTGTATTTAGACATGTTCTTGTCCAAAAAAGTCAGTTTGAATGAACATTGAACTTTTATAACCCTTAGAAGCCTTTAAATACCACTTTAAGTCTAACTCGACTTTTAGAGGGGATTAATTAAAAAAAAAAAAGAAGTTCATCTGACTCTGAAATTAGCACGGGTACTACGAAGCCGCATCGTCAGCGTCCATCATGCAGGTTTTTCTCACCTGAAGATGACATGATATCCTTACCATTTAAGTTCCCCTTGAAACTGAAATTTTTTTATAAACATGTATATGATGAAATTTATACAAAATAAATATTTCAAACAAAATTGAAACTCATCCCAATCTTTTGATACAAAAATCCTTCTCTTGTTTTGTTTTTCCTAGTTTGGGAGACTAGCACTCTGGTTTTGTGAACCCTCCTCACTCGCCCAACCAAATTCATGTATTTAGAATCGTGTAATGGGTTAGCTCCTTTTTCGGTCTATCCCATAAAAGCTCAATCGCAGGTACGACCATTGGCATACATAAAATTCCAAAATCTCCAGAGATTGCTCTTAATTTAAACAAGGTCATTTTAATTAGTCTACCCACCGTAAGCCTCATAAAGAATGGTGGTGATTACCATAATATACCATTCCTGGCGGCTGGAGAGGCCGGAAACTAGGAGGCACTGGGGCTTGCTGCGACATTGTTATTGGTTGATGCTGGTTTACAGGCGCAGGTTGATGCTGGCTCATTTGCAGTGTCTGATGTGCTATAGGCATTACTGGCCCCACCATGTGTGGGGGAGGTGGGGGTGGGGGTGGTCTGGGTGCTAAGGGAGGGACGCTTCCATACCCATAACCAGGGATTACTGCTGTTGATTGCATATACTGCTGCGACGTGGGATTACCAAGTAAATGATATTGACCTTGTGATGCAGGGGCTTGATTTTGCATTGTTGGTTGGGCCACCATAACTGAAGTAAATGAATGACTAGGTGCAGGCACCATCTTCTGTGTAGACCTAAAAGCATTGGGATCTGACTCAGGTGTCGACTTATCAGGGTTTGAGGAGGACGCAGAAGAGAGACCAGCATTTTTTGCCTCTTCAGCTGCAAATGTTGAGAGAACAGAAGTCATGATCAATTGGGAAGAGGAAGAAGCCGCAAGCTTATCTGCAACCTCTCGGCAGCAATTGCTGCAGCCGACTTCTTATTTGGTGCTTCAGATTTCGTATTTGCATCGGTTGCCAAAGAAGATGCTTTCTGCACAAAGTTGTCATCGTCTAGTCGTTTCCTCATGTTGTTAGCCTCCTCAACTTGTGCTTCTGCTACCTTCATATTAGTTGAATTGTATCAGTGCACAGTGAACAATGTATATGTTAGCATCAATAGCAACAAAAGCATCTCAAATTGCAGTAGCAATGAAAGCAATATCAACAAGTTATAGATGGCATCAAATGCTATTAGAACAGAATAATTTCAAACTCGGATCCACAAAAGACTGATGTTTGTCAAGCATTCAGCCTCGTAGGTAAAACCCTACATGTACCATGGACATGTGCAGTTGTACTGCAGGCAAGGATCTCCACAATCAATATCAAAATGAAAGGCAAGCAATTATCTAGTTTTCTTTAGACAATCAAAATCTAATCAGCCGTGCTTATCAACTAACTCAAGATACAAAATCTATGGAGATAGGAACTCAATGTTCATAATTCTGAATACCACTGCATAATTATCTATAGCCAGCTGCCAATTCTATACAACAATGATTTCAGAGCATCTTCAACCAAAACTAAATTTTTTAATAATTTTACTATTTTCTGTTATCTTGATTATGAGACCTTCACCAAGGTAGCTCTTAAAATTCAACTACTGTTGGCCAGAAGAGGAATTTAGTGAAGCAATCAAATGGTGCCAAACCGAAATACATGTTCAATGCGTATCAAACCCAACAAGAGACTGATCAAAACAGGACAGCCTTCTGTAAGAAGGAATACTATGTTACGCACCTGCACTTGAGTACGAATATTCTCCAATTCAGATTCCTGAGACAAAAATCCACAAAGGATTGCAAGAAATTGACGTTTAGAGCTTGGTGCCAACCAGAAGCCAGGTGAGTGCGGATCACATAAAGGAGTTTAAGCAGAAGGACATGATAACAAACCTGCTCATGCAAAGCTTCTTTTAACTGCAATACAAGCGCTACTCTACTGGCTTCAACTAATTTAAGTTTTTCAATGCATTGTCTCAAGAGAGTTTCTTCCTCCTCTAGTCCCTTTGCCAAAGTTTTTCGCTTTGGATCGTTTGCTGATAAAGAAAGGAAGATTAGAATCATAAATTTCACAACGTTGATTTACCATAATACCCTCTGAACTTACCAACAGAGCATGCAATATCAACATCTTTCTCCATCTTTCTTACACGCTGAACGGTAGACTTGCATTTTTTCATCTCTGCATCTTCACTCATTTGTTCACTGAGCACCAAATGAAATGCAGAGACTATTTTTTCTGCTGCACCTCCAATGGACAATTTCTGGCTTCCCAAAAAAAAAAAGTGAGCTATGGAAAAATAATGGCAGTCGAATGACACAATAAAATATTTAAACAGATATAGAAACTGGAGGAAAAAGAAGTCAGAAAGGTCCAAAATCTAACCGTTCTAATGTAGCGAGAATCCCTTTTCATAATTCTTACAGAACGAGATCGCTTTTTGTTGAGTTCCAATGGTGGCGGTGCTTCTCCTCCAAGCATTACATCTTTAAGATTCCGTGCCCGAGATCCAAACACCCTCCTTTGCTCCCATATATCAACCTAAATGTTGAATGAGCATCCAAATTAACCAATCAAACAGCCTGACTCAGGATAATGGTGTTCAAATCACTTTGTCACCATTCATAAGACATATCTGAGGGTATAGCCCATGCATAAGTAAAAGTCCACAAACACTTTAGACTCAAATCTTCCACCCACACATTCCCTTTTGACTGGCTGTGACTGTCGTATGGGCTCAATAATTACTTCAAACCATGGAAAATAGACTTACCAATCTAGATACCACGTTCTTTCCATGATCATCACCTTTCTCAATAACATCTTTAAGTGCGGCAGGAAGAACCTTCCAAAACTCAGTCACAAATTCATTTCCTTTCCGCTTGCTGTTCTGCAAAATATCATTTGCAAGGTATAGAAGGGGCACCCTCTGAACCATCTCTGAATTGTGGAATTGTTTATTCCATGTTTCAACAACCAATTCTGCTTTACTCCGGTGAAATATACACAATGTGATAAAGCTAAACCAAAAAGTTAAGGATAACAAACTATGCAACATCAACAACCAATAAAAATGCACCTATTTGCATTTCAACAAGCAATTATAACAACAAAATTTGATGCTCAAAAGATCTTCAATCTATCAAGTAATTCAAGCACTATGGATAATACTTCCAGTCTCCATGAACTAGGACTGCACTAGCAAAACGCTCTCTTCCCATTGGACAATATTATTAAATCTGATCAACAGTGGAATCCATAGAAGGTATTAATTGTGTATATTAAAGAAAACAGAGAGCAATATACAAAAAGCACGTACAAGAATAAATGCCACTAGAAAGATGACAAAAAACTACTTTTTAAAAGGTCAAGGCGAGGGAAATATTCCATTGAACTTCACACTGAAACAATCCTACATGCTCATAGATGAATAGACATGATTATCCTAATCACACAAAACATTATGAAATTGTCATCAACTTATCAAAGCTCCTTTGAATATGGATCATTGATCATCACAAGTGTTATTTAAGTCTGCAATTTAGATAATATTATAAAAGTTTCTGCCACAAGTCTCTAACTAGAGCAACACCCATTATATTCGTTCATTTGTATTATATATGACACAAACGTATGGCTCCTACTATAGTGGCATTGCCATTTCTGTACAAGAATTCTTCTGGTGGTTTTATGCCTAATGTAAGTTCGTCTTTATTCTCTTGAAGATTTTTTTAAAAAATGACACCCAGAAATCACACCAAGGTATGATCCATCAGGTAGAAAGGAGATTAGGAGATCAGGTACACCCCAGATCATTGCTCCATTCCATTGAAAACTAAATTAGGCAGGCGTAGTCGTTAAGATTTACCTTGTGGCATTTTACTATGGAAACCATAACCCTTACCTTAGAATGGTTCTGGCAGCTTTTAATTGGAAGAGATCTTAGTCTAGAGGCTACTTAGTCAAGCATAACAAGCATCAAGTTGACAGGAAAAGCATTGACCATCATTACTACTAAAACTACTAAGGCTCCGTTGCGGAGTACGGACAAGTGGAATGAGGGAATGTTGCTCAACTGACCAAAAAAGAAGTGTAGCACTCTCGTTGTGACACCAACTTGTGGGTAAA